GTTACAGGTGCAAACTACGTGGTGGTCAGGCTGTTTGATGCATGCATCCTACGTTTGCAATTCGCCTTCACCCATTTGGTAGCCGACAGTCTACGGTTAACCGTAAGTAAAAAATTATTGCAAAACCAATAAACAATATTTCACGTTTTCTGACTGGCCCTTGACGAACATTCTGATGAATACTTCAATCCATGAGTTATCTAATGGTCACCTGATGCACGTCACAATGCCCATCTTTGTTAAAATAATTGCCTTATATGAGCTAGCAAACTCAGACTGCGAAAAGACGGGGCAGAAGAGGAATAGTGCCAAAAAGGTGTTTTTTTAGACGAATCAAGAGAGTCAAAATAATAGGCTGCTCAGCACTTACACTACCGCAATATCAAACAGAAAAATAATGAGCCAATAAACCGGAGCTAAACCCGGACATTTAAGTCAAATAACGGTGCGAAGAGGGATGCTATTATTCGTGGAACTTACGCGTAAAACAACAGAAAAACGTCGTTTTCGCTTAAGTCAACCCGAAACGGGAAGCATGCCCATATTTCACGAAAATTCTTCAACGTAAAGATGTATGTAGAGGTCGAAGCTCGTTATGGTCATCTAAGTTCTGGGCTGAGTGGTAAGTGTCTAGTCAACAAACAGTGTTGACATTTTTTAGTATGTTATTTACAGTAGCCCTAAAAGAGCTTCTCAAAAATATTTAATGTGAAAATCAACAACTGTAGATAAATGGGCATCACTTATGCTTCCTGTGGTAGACGGATCATATTCTAATACTGTCAAAGTAGCCAGAAAGACTGGAAGAAAGGATCCAATGGGTGATGAGCAGGATCAAAGAGAGCTGAATATTAACATGAAGAAGATATCGGTGATGTTCAACAAACACGTGATCCAGCAACCCGTTGAAATCAATTGACGTTGGCTCAAAAAATAGCAAATCTACGCCTGTTTGAGACATCTCGTCTCTGCAACTTAGAACCGACTCTGTAAATTCACCAGAAGGATAAAAAATCGGCATCAAGCAGTTATGGAAAATTGAAAATATTTTTATTCAAGAAACTGCGTCTATGCTTGAAACGCAAAAAATTCGATCAGTGTATTCTGCCGGTGCTAACCTATGGGTAAACCCTCGGCCTATAAGGTATTTATAAACTGCAGACTATGCAATGTAGCAAGGAATGATGTATGCTGGGAGTAACAGCGAAAGACAAGAATATGAGTGAATGGGTTAAAGTAATACGAGTAACGGTTTGAACTACTTCTACACTTAAATTTGGACCTCAACGTTTTTGCAATCATTTAAAAAATGGCTGAGGCAAACTTCGCCAAATCATAGTTCCAGTCAGCAGTTGTACAGTGAAATATTTCCAATTCTTTCCCACAAAATTTACAGAACTTTTAAAAATAATTGTCAGGAATTATTTGCTGTGATGCCTCGTGTGTCCTTGCATACGTCACAGTACGTTCTTTCCAGATCTTATCATTAAATCGTGACAAATCTTATACTTACGAGTACTGTGTAAGTACCACGACCACACGGAACCACATCGCCCTCATCATCGGCTGCAGAGGAGCATGGAAATGTGCCAGAAGCATGGAGATAAGCGGATGCCAGCAAATCCTCCCTAGCCAGTGAAAAACACTACAGCCGACGGACGGGCTGCGCCATGGCGATCGCCACTATCTTCCATTCTGACCGAGATCTGTGTGGAACGGTTCGAAGAAACGGCGTTGAATCAATGGGACTCAGACCACTGGATGATACATTGGTCCTATGGAAGCATGGTGAAGAGCAACCGGACGTATTTCGCGTACATCTGAACTCCATGCACGAAAACATAGCAGTGCAGCCGTTGTTCGTGGCGATGGACAGCTGCGTCATGCACTATTTACGACGAATATGCGATGAGCGGCATATGCATCGGGCGGTTGGAGCGTTTACCCAAGAAATCTGTCCTGCAGAAACCTCAATTTCTGCAAGGGAGGCTTCGTGTCGCCCGCTGCAACATAGGAACGTTGATCGGTCGTGGCAAGCTGGACATTTCGGCACCCTCATATACCCACCTACCAGGCAATGGATATCAACAGCTTTAAACAGCATTGCAGCTCTACTGCTCTGGAAAGCAGGATTCTTACCGTGCGGCCAAAGTTGCACTTCTGCTGCCCCCCCTTCTGCAAGAGGTGAACGATTTGTTACCGTGTCATCATTTGCGATTATCCAGTTAAGATGAAATTAGTTGCCATGTAGGTGCATACGAACGTCGACCCGAAGAATGACCACTTCTAGGCATGTCTCCACACGGTTCTTAGTTCCTACCTGCGATATTAATTATGGATGGTCGCCGATCACCTCAACGGCCATGTCGACGTCAACAATGACAGCTAGCCTGTGGAGCGAGGTCGACCCACACACACACAAGACGCGCATGATTTCCATTTCGGTGAGCACACCGTTTCCGCATTGTCGCATCCATCAGCAGACAGGGAAAGTGCCAGAAGGTCATTTCAAAAGCCACATCGATCACGTGCTGATCAGCGACAGATGCTGAAGTGCCCTCCACGACTCTCCGCCTTCTCCTGGCAACAAATGGCGGAACATTCCAGAAGAAGGGTTTACTCGCTGTACTACGGAGGAGCTAAATTATCCTGTCACTCAAGAAACGTTCCAAATGCAAATCATTTGGCAAACTCACTGTTCTGAACGACGTCACCACCTACCAAGACCCGGAGCTGCTCTATATCCGCCTTAAAGAAGGCATCATCGATGCCATGTGCTACCAAGGCTATAGGCTTCAGCAACCGGAAGACAAAACAACCGTGATTCATGACAGAAACTTTAAGTTACCGCAAAGACAGGCAGCGACAGGGGACAGGATGATGCTGTACAGACTGGTGAATGCCATGGCCAAAGGAAACAAACGAAAACATACCACTCTGACAGCTTGTATTACACAACAAGTACAATAAGCTGCTGCAAGACTACGATGGCCATCAGAAACGAGGGGCCGAACACTTCGCAGAACTTCTGAATCGGTCTAGTTCTCTGGTAAATCTCGAAACAGAAGAGGAAGTTGGATGTTTATTTAGATGTTGGCTGCACCTCACAATCGATCAGAGACCTCTGAGAGGCGATGCGACTCTACTGAAAGTTACAGTCCGCGGACAAGACGGGATTGAGGCAAAAATGCCACAGTGCGAAGTTTCATTCCCGGGGTCCACCTGGCTTAACCGCATCTGACCGGACCGCTGGAAGAACGGGTGATAATCCAAATCATCGAGAGTGAGAGACTCGCCGACCGCAACAATAGGAATCACCTTCGTGCCGGTGCTGCAGGAGGTCTTCTCGCGAATCATTCTTGGACGACTAAGGGAATAGGTCGTTCGTTCGCTGCCAGCCAATCAAACAGGCCTACGAAGTGGGCACTCATGCACGAACAACGTCTTTGTGCTGAAGCGAATCATCGAACTGGACCGGGGCTTTCACCTTCTCTGGCACACCACGTTTGTGAACTTGATTATCCGGGCAGTTATCGATTTAGTTCATCGTGACGTGCTTTTCGTCACTACTGGATTCAACAGGCATTGGTAACCTGGACATAAGGTCCGTATGAGGGGATTAAATGCGCTGTCCGAAATGAAAGACCAGAGTCGGACTGACTCAGCATCACCACTGGAATTCGTGAAGGCGAGGTGCTCCCTCTTTGTTATTCAACATCATGGAAGACTACATCATGAATAAGTGCTAGGTCTCAAATAACGACGAGGAACTGACCGCTGGTCAGCGACGCAGCTCGAAACCGGCGATGTTCCTAATGGACCTTGAGTATGCGCATGAAGTCGTGCTGCTGAGTGGTTTTTCAAGTAGACTATTGACACTCCCTGAAATCCTGTCCGACAGCTGTGAGAGTAGGTCGAGAAGTGAACGCCAAACAAAGCGAAGATGATGAGAGAGCCCGCCACAACCGGCAGTCCAAGCATACTATGAACTGGTATCACGATGGAGGAAGTGAGCCGTCTGAACCATCTCTGAATTATGAAATAACTGTGATATAATCCTGAAATGAATTTGCGCGTCAGACAGGCATCAGCGATTTCTGACAAGCCGTATAACATATGTAAGGATCGGACTATTAGAACTGATACAAAGATCAGCATTCTGAAGCACTCGGCTGTATTTGCAAAGCTTGTGTACAATTTCGAAACATCTATCTGCCATCCTGAAGTACCATGCAGCAGGATTAGAGAGCTTTCATAACAACGCTGTCTGTGCAACGTTCTCAAAGTGCGGTGGTTTCACCGGGTCACGCTGACGACCACTGGCCTGAGAAAACTATCAGATGAAGTAAGAGACCAGCGCATGGCTTGGTTTGATAAAACGGTCTAAGAAATAATGGACATGTATTCAGAACGTTTCTCTCTTAGAAACCATGCACTGGCCGCAGACGCGTGGAATGACAATGCAAAACATGGGAAAACCTCATTGAGGAATAGTTGTTTGGGGACAGGAAGCTCCAGCAGTAAATTTTGCTTAATATCAACCCGAAGTACCTTTTCAGAATAATAAATCTGGACTGCTCTGATAACCTCACACGACGTTCACAAAATAATAACAAAGCAACATCAAAGCATTCAGTTCATCTATTAACTTCCGTTCTTAGATGTGCTTGTGTACATGAGAAACAGCGCACTAAACCCCGCCATTCTGGACACCATGTTAGCTTTCATTCCCACACCCCTGCATCCATCAAAAGCAGGATGTGCTCAAACATTATACCTGTGAGACATGAGACTGTGCGAGGACTCGTCCTCTTTCACAGACGAAAATTGCGTCCTTGTGACCTAAAGTGAGGAAAATCGGCATCTGGAAATTCCGGCCTCACACAATTCAACAAAGTAGACTGTGAGTTAGACAGAGTATGCAAATAAAGGGGAACGACGACCACAAAAAGACTTCCAAACCGTCCTCTTTCAGTTATCCGTACCAAAACACGCTTAGTGATCAGGTACGGGGAAGCCACGGTTTGCAGATTCCCAGACAAGCTGGCAACCTGCTGTAGAAGAAGCACGTAGTACAGAGGCAGGAAGACGTCGGCATATTCATTCGAAGAGCCACGCTGCAGAAATCTGCACTACGCCAAAGAACCGAATCAGGGAACACATGGCTCATCTCACAGAGCAGGTGAAAACGGATCTGCTTTTGGGGAACACAGCATACTAAAAAACAATGTTATGGAAAGGAAAAAATTTGAAATCAGTCGGGGTGGAACGGGCAGGAAGAAAAACGCTAGATCAATCCAGTATGACATCCCGTGCTACATAATTAGATTATCAGTAAACGCATGCCTCTGTAACTCGTCACTGTACCATCGCAACTTTGCCGTTGTACGCAAACCCTCAAAATGCGTCATCGTCGAAAAAGTGGGAGAGCAACTACACCAGGTTTGGCTCTATTCACAGATCTGTCTCCACTTGAAATGAAGGATCGTTACGAATCTGGTTCTGGATTTAATACTTTCTGCTCACTCCCTGCATCAGAGCTAAACTGTTTAACTGGATAAAGGAATGAAAAGAAAAAACCTATTTAAATACGCAATATTTGTAAACTTTCATAAAAACCACTACGTAGATCCCCTCGAAACCTCTTCTGAACAAAACCTACTGAAAAGCTATGTAAAGCAAACAGTCATGAAGGAGTCAGTCACGTGGTGGCTTGACTCGGCGGCGGTCGTGACCGCTTTTCCTCAGAGCCGTGAAGAACGGAAGGAATATCAACGGAACGGAACGGTCTATCAACTGCAAATCGCTCGGATCGATCATCACCGCCAGATCCGCCATGTAGGCGCTGTCAAGCCGTACTGTGCGCTCCGAGTCCGAGCGGAACTGGCGAATGATGTCGACGAATCATCGATCACTTCCGTCCGTATCGTCGTCGATCACAGCCACCGTACGACGTCTACCACGAAGTCAGGAGGACGGTATTTCGTATCATGTTTATAACAGCGATCAATCAATCAATCAATCACCAACGAATCGTACTCACCCGGAGAATCGCTGTCCCCGACGTCATGCTTGTAGCAAAGGGGCACCGGCACGGGGGGTCTCTGACCGAACAGACCGTACACCGTGCACTCGGTGCTGTGCAGCTTGTTGATCCACAGTCTGCTGGTCTCGAGCCGCCGGTCCTTGGCGGTGCCGTCGGATTTCGTGATACTGGAATGCAGCTGTTCGACTAGTTTCGTGTTGGGCACCTTCAACACCAGGCTGGTGGGCACGTCGGGCGCGTCCTGAACACCGCCAGCCCATTTCAGCTTGAAACGAATCACTCGGCTCAGGAAGCCCCTGCCGTCCGTAAGCTCCAGGCCGTCGACTTCGTCCAGCAACTTGTTCGTGCCGCAGTAGTCGTTGATGATCTGCTCGAAAAGTTCAGGAAAGTTTTCCTCGTCGTCTTCCATTCGAACGCTAAAACGTTACGGTTATGACAAAGCTCGTCTGCTAAGTCGACTCCTCGTTTAATGTCTCAGCAGGCTTGCGCCACAGACAGTAAAAACGCTTCGATACACAGCCGTGACCTTCTCACGACCTTCGGTTTCAGCGACCAGGCTCAGGTCCCGAAACGTCGAAATCCACTGACAGCTACAAGCGTTCGGAAAGTGAAAGAGGCGAGCAACAAGAACAACAACCATCAGAACGAACGATCATTAAAGTCTGTGGCCAGAGGACGCAGCCTGGCACGTTTTGACGACGGATCAGTGAAAACTGGTGAGCGAGTTTCAGCGTAGGAAGCCACCGGCACGGCTGGCGGCAGCGGATATCCCTGTGTCTGGGCTTTCAGTAACTAACTAGATCACAGCATCCATTTGCGAGCGGCGACATTCATCATTGCTTTTTTACGCTCGCGTAAAGCCGCAAGTTATGCAACACGATCGATTCAGTTTTCTCTTCTCACCGAGGATCGACAGTGACAAAACAGGGGACCACAGGTCAGAGAGAAGTGGGGGAACTGTGCTCTCATCAGGTACTGACACTGGTTTGCAGCTGACTGTTCAAAACTACACGAAGCTTAGACAACGGGCTTCATGAACTACTGCTTTTGTACGTGTTCATTTCGAATAAATCCATCCTTGCTCTGACGCCGTCAAGAGTGAGTATCTAAGTACTGAATCACATGAGGGTGACGTCAATTAAATGTCATTTTTCTAAATGATACGATAGCTTCAAAGGTCCCTCAAAAGCCCCAAAAAGGTCAGTAAATAAACGTAACCAGTTCTAGAGGATTAACTACAGATCTTCGTACGCATTAGGTGTCATGACGTTGCGAGATCGCAGAAAATGTGGTATAAACTTTTCGAAATTGGCTTATGCCAATTCAATTCAATCAATTCTTATGCATATCACTTTAACATCAGTACCACTATCATTGGCCAAGACTCCTCCGAACATACTCAAAATGGAACACCTCAGATATCATCAAAAACGAACGCACTATGATTAGGTAACTTTAGCCAACAAACCTTCTCATCAATTCAAAGGCGAGCGTTTCTTCTCTGTCTGTCTTCCAAATAAGAGACAGGTGCATCAATTTTTCACCTGGACTATCACTGACAAACATTTCGGTTTATACCTTACATACCTTATTTGAAATTGAGTACAATACAATGGATCTGTCGTTGCCGACGGTGGTTTTCATCAAATTCTTTCATCGTTAAATCTAATCACGTTTATCAAGGAGTAGTTGCAACGGTTCAGGCATAATTTTTCCTGGTTACTCTGATGATTAACTACGTATAGCCTCAGATAAGGATGAGGTAACATAAACATCAACTGCATAACGCTTATCAGCCTGCAATACGGTAAATAAGAATAAAGCCATCAAATACGAGATACATAGAAGCTGGAAAACCCAACGTTCATCGACCCAAATTTCTTTCCAGTTGCAGTAACGACAGCTTCAAGGCAGCTTTTCTAATGGCATAAATTTTCCGCATATCGAATATGCTACGCAACGTGGGTCCCAAAGCACGACAGTGCCATTAGTTTAATACAGCTGAGTCAATTAACCCTCGATCTGCTCTACCTCTGGCTGAATATCAACTGGCTTTACGTAAATACCCAGTAAAGTCCTAGACAGAATCTAAGAATAAGTCAACAAGCAAATTACTCCATAACTTTGTTCCTGCTTTCGAACTTTCAGTACTACATGGCATGGGAGCTGAAGCCCAACCGATCTGGCGACAAAGAAGGTCTTTATATTACAATACTTTTAAAGTTTACTACTTGCACGAGATTACAAAGAATCCTGCTTTTTAGCATGTGCCTTAATGTTAACCGGATGTGCGCAATTCTCCAAACTTACTGAAAATCAATGTAAGAACATGCAACAACCAATCACAAGGAATTACTTCAAGGTAAGGAACGATCCAAGAAACGGAATTCTAAGAATTCAAGCAATGGCCATTTGTAATATCTCGTAAAAATATCAACATGTTAATGAGATATTATGTCTTTGAAAAAAGTATGCCACAAACCGTTACTAAGCAGCAACAAGCAAGTCGAAACACTACCGTCATAACAATATTTAAAGCGCACATACCGGGGTGTCGACGGGAGGACAACGCTTTCACTGACCTATCGGTTACTTACACATTCTAATGCAAAGAGGTGGCAAGCAGCACGTACTGCGTCAGCCATCTAAGGTAAAGTCGATTTTAACAGTGACGGTGGCTCAGCAAACTTTGAGAAATGACGTGCCATTTTTAGCCTGATTTACAGGGTCCTATCACGGTACCGATAACTGCAAATATCCTTGCCTGAAGGACGGAGCAGAGTGAATACCTCCATGATATTCTATGCTCGAGTCTAGTGTAATAATTGCCAGAAATGCTGGGAGGATCGCAATTTTATTTTATAGAAATCGTAGGGCTAGAAGGACAGGGAGAATGGAGGAGCCATGAAACTCGCTGCTTCGGACCGGACGCAAACGCCTCACATGAACCACGCAGTCGTTTAGGAGTGCAGAATGACCATAATCAATAAATCAATCAATCAATCAATCAATCAATCAATCCATCATCATTATTACTTGTAAGCTTACTACCAACAAATAGACCATTAATCCGCTTGCCGTTGCACAGATATCATAAGCTTAAGCCGCTCAGAGGCCAAATGGCGATGACACACGTTCCACTCAGTTTCGAAAGCAGCCGAATCGGAAAAACCTGCGTCTCCCTTTCTGAACCTACCGTCAGAAGAAGTCGATGAAGAGGAAAGCCAAAGATGAGATCGACGACCGAAGTCACTGCG